GGAAAGTTTTGTTTTGTGTTTACCTCATAGTTAAAGTTGTTGCACATGTGTTCCTGCCTGAAATGAGCGAGTTTGAGCCACTTGTACATTCAGGAAGTGTTCAGGAAAAGCAAAACAGCAGCGAAGAAACTCGACACAGAGGAACATTAACACCTCACTGCCAACTAGCGTTTTGGAAATGTAATGCAGACCAACAGAGACAGCGCGCAGAAGTATAAATGCACAGCTTCAGGCGTTGCATGCGCCGGTGGTTACGCCAGTCACTTGAAGCAGAAGTATAAACCAGGCTTAACTATTGCACTGAGTGTAAACATGTTAGCACCACAACCAAGCTATTACCGTCGTGTAGGATTTTCACCGCATTTTGTGACCGGAATAACACATGCGGCTTACCTGCCGAGTGCATCTAAGTTACAGAGAAATGCAGTTTATTTTTTCTCTCATTCGCCGTGCGGTATCAAACATTGCATGAAAAATACACACTTAGGGCAGTTCCTCGAATCAAATATCTTGTTTGTCACGAGGGGCACAAATGAATTCCCTGAATGAAAGTGCCAAACTGCAGCTAAAGTCCACCATGTAATAATTTGGCAAATAATTTGATTACAGATGTCCATGTAAACACAGTCACTTTCTCCCCTGTGTGTGTGTGTGTGTGTGTGTGTGTGTGTGTGTGTGTGTGTGTGTGTGTGTGTGTGTGTGTTTGTGTGTGTGTGTGTGTGTGTGTGTGTGTGTGTGTGTGTGTGTGTGTGTGTGTGTGTGTGTGTGTGTGTTTGTTTTGACTCTGAAACTCAGTGCGTGGTCAAATAAACACTCCCACACCCATCCCTCTTTAGCTACTTTGACACTAACCCCTAAACAGAGCTGGACACGCCCACTTTTCTGGCTTTTTCCAAAGTAATGGTGTGAAAACACCCTGCTGAAATGAGGGGGTTTCATGGCCCTTAAAACTTTTGTTTAAAAGTTTGATTCTGAAAGATACTTTGTATGTTTTCCAAGACTCATTGCTTCAGTCTTCAGTGTCAAATGATCATTCTATCACTGCTTAATTTTCTCACTTAAAGTGTGTTCTGTTTATATGAATGCTTCTTTAAAGAATCATGACAATCACACATTTTACCATGAATAAAAGACGCCCACTTAAAACGAAATTTAGAGTAGGAATATACCCACAGAAATGGCAAAAAGACATAAATTCTCTATGGATCATCATATAATACTAATTAAATGTGATTTTAAATCATTACATTTTGCCACTATCCTTCAAACCACATGATTTTCCCCATTTGCAACGTTTTCTTTACTTTAATTTGGTATGCCTTCTATGTATAAATAATCACTTGTGCAAATTTAATGAGATGCAAACACCAAATGGAACGTCTCGACTTTGACCCATATATATTTTTTAATATTATTTGATGAATAGGAAAAAAGAAAACAAAATAGCATTATAAATGCAGTTACTACTTCGAAACCTATCTTAATTTCTTTCTACATTTTTTTATTTATTTATTTATTAACAAACTATTAACTAGTAGTTAGGCTTAGGTATTGGGTAGGCTTAAAGATGAAGAGTTAAAACATGCAGAAAAAGTGACCCTTTAACTGCCCCACCAAGAAAAAATAAATAAATAAAGACATTGGAATGCATTTCTTAACATCTAATGTCACTAGTTAACACACTCAATGCATTTTCTTTCGAACCAAATCCCATTGTTTTCGAAAATATCAACCATTTGGTAGAGGGTGATATGACAGTTTATGGTAAAAGTACCAAAAATAATACATTACTATGAAAAATCTGAAAATATGAAGTGTAAGACTACAATTTATTTTCAAAAACATTTTTTAATTAAGAATCATCTTTATTTTTCCAAGTATGCCATAAAATATTTCAGATTCTCATTAAACATGTATTTTTTTGTTTGTTTGTTTGTTTGTTTGTTTTTATAATGAAACTAAAATCAAGTGTAATACTGCAACAAGATTATGTTTGTTTGATTTTTTTGTAAACCAACAATATTGTGTGTGTAAACCATTTTTTTACAACAGTCATTCTTTACAGGGATGGTCCACTACGATATCATATTTTAAACTTTAGTTGATGTGTAATGTAGCAGTGTGAACATAAACAGCATCTCTGAATGTAAAATGCTCAATGTTCAATGAAAAGGGAGACGTTGATTTTTACAGAGTTAGCTTAGCAAAGCCTACAATGGACGAATTTTAGGGACTACAAAAAATACTTCCGCCCTGTTCGTTTACCACGCACACACACAGCTAAAGGCCATGACCAGAGGCGCTGTAACTTTACAGCATAAGGAAAAATGCCATCCTGCTATTTCCACAGAGCTACTCTGTTTCTGTATTTGGGCTACCAAATGACACGACCCAAACACAGAAGTGCTTACAGTTTAATATTAATTAGGTTCCAGAGAATTATAAGAACATAGCAAGCATGATTTAACAAAAAACAGCTTCCAGAATCTCTGACGTCGTGTAACGCGTTGAGTTAAAAAAAAAATACAGCAATTCTCTTCTTACTGGACGGTAGCAGCAAAAAAAAATCAATCAAGGCTCACATAGGTCTCATCCCACATCTTGCGCTTTATTCTGTCACCAGCGTCACCACAGAAAATAACTTAATCTGAGTCCCGTGCACATGCGCTTCTTGTGTTACAGATAGTTCATAGTATAAACACGAAGACACACACACACACATACACACACACACACTATCTCTTAAAGGAGCCGCATCCCATTTTCACACGTTACAGACACTTGTTGACTGAATGTTTACACAAAACGTGCGTGCTTGTACGGCCGTGACGTGGAACCGATCCGCGAATCGCAGCACATTATTGACCAAGCAGAGTCACTTGAGGGCGGGCCTTTCAGAGGAACTAGGAAATATATCGTTTTCATGTTAGCTGAGTAGCTGTGTATAATCAAAGTGAGATTAATGAAAAAATAACATGATTTCCTTCAAGTGAAACATGAGCATACATTGCTTTGCATCTTATTAACACAACCAGTAATTTAAACCACCCCTTTAAATTACTTTAACAGTCATTATAAAAATTAGTCAAAATATGGTCAACCATTTTGTAGAGCAGGCAGTTAAAGGGTTAATACTTGGCATGAAATAAAGTCTAATTTATACTCAATACGTCCGCCAGTTCACTTAAGTCTATGCAGCGAATGTGACATCATTGTGGTGTTTGCGGTGGTTCACTTTGGGTGCGCGTGTTTCATTTAAGTTGAATATGAATCACTTTGAAAATATTTTGTCTGAAAAGTTGTACACCTATACAGATATCTTCTAATCTGTCCATGCATGACTATAGAAAGAACCAAATGACCAATAATTTTTGGCTAGAAATTGCAACAGTGGCGAAGGAGGAAAGTTTTTTGTAAAAAAAATAAAATTGGAAAATCGTGAGGGATAAGTTTGTTAAAACCAAAAGAGGCCATGGCAAAAATGAAGACCAAAGTGGTTTTAATACACAATTACAGAACACATGTATGTGTTTTCCACCATTCATAGGTTTTACACTGATGTATATGTTAGAATTTTGAATATAAAAATAAAACAATAATCATTAAAAAAATAAATTAAGAAACAAATAATTTCTTTGATGACTGAAAAAGAATATTCGAACCTATCAGTTTACAACATACAGATTTTTCTACTCTTTATTGGTAATATTAGTGAGCAATGTTGGACCATTATTGTCTTCTTAGCATAAGTAGAAGACAGAAAATAACCACACAGTTAATATGCTAATTGTGGAGTGGGCAAAATCTATAAAAAAAAACATCAGTATTTTTTACAACTTTTTTTTTTTTTTGCTTCTATTGCCATAATAATATATATTTATATATATTTGTAGAGCAATCCATTTTCTCTTGCCATAATTATTTTAATAAACTTTAATAGGTAGAACTGTCCAAACAAAAGCAGGTGATGCTCAAAGTTTGACTTAAAAAAATCTTGATCGGTTATAAAAACCTTCATAATTAATTAAATAATTTATAAAATGAATAAAAGTAATTAGTTTTAAAATCTTGAATGATATAAATGATGTGACGTATTTCCGAAAACTTTCTACTTCTCTGTTTATTCGTCTGATTTTAGGGTGGGTTTCTTTTGACTACCCCCTGTCATTTTAAAGACCATCACAACGGCGAACGTGTCAAGTATAAAAGCCTTGTCTGTTTTGTGAGGTGAGCATGCAGTCAGCAGAGGTGCGCGATGCAGCTCCAGACTTAAGTATAAATCACGCTTAAACCTAGTGGTTAATAGTGATAATGGGTTCTTAAAGAGACAGTTCACCCAAAACTGAAAATTCTGTCATCATTTACTCACCCTTTACTCGTTTCAAACCTTTATGAGTTTCTTTGTTCTGTTAAGCATAAACGAAGATATTTTGAAGAATGCTGAAAACCTGTAATTATTGACATCCATAGTATTTGTTTTTCCTACAATTGAATTCAATTGTTATTGAATGGAATTGGAGATAAAGTTAATTATATTTATTGGAATTTATTTGAATGTGTCATTTTAAAATATTTGTAATTTTATTCTACTAGGGATGTCTGCAGTTATTGGTTTAAAATGCAGCATTAAAAAAAAAAAATCTAAAATAAACCCAAAAAAGTTAGAAATGTTTTCATTTTTGGGTGACACTATCGCTTTAACGCTATTGTCTAGCTTCACATTTACACAATGTTAATGCCTCTCGTTCTGTACAACTCATTTGCAAGTCATTTTGTGTTCGGACGTCAAAGGTGCTATTTGTTTTGTTTTTCCCCACCTTAGAGTCAAAATGAAGAGTCAAACTTTATCAGTCTGGCTGATGAAAAGGCAATCCGCAAGCAAATACGCCGCAGACGACAGAAATATATTAGCACTAGATATCTGTGTGGCCTTCTCCTTGAACGTCTCACTGGTGCGCAGAGCGACTCTGAGATAAAGACCCAGCGAGCCCATCACTCACCCGCACATCGCTCATAGATGCTGTTCATCACCATGGGGGGCTGAACGCCGGCGTCTGATTGGCTGAGGTGCGCCGCCTGCCCCACGCAGCTATCAAAGGATCGATTGAGAATTCGCCGTGCTTCCTGGAACTCCTGCAGGGGGAAAATGAGAGAAACCGTGTCACCATATCGATCCTGTTTGTGAATTATAGAAACAGAAGAGGCAAATCTGAGCACCGGGAAAAGGTAAAGACTTTCAAATAGCAGGCGGATCGTTACACCATTCATCACTAAACAAATAGCATGCCGAGACTCAGGTTTGAGGAAGGAAGGGATTGGAGATATGAACAAGAAATCTGCTCCTGGAAGTGCTCTTAATTCATCTGATTAGTCTAGATGTCAGTGTCGTGAAGGATTTAAGTCGCTCGCTTGCAGATGTAACAGATTTTCTGTCTCTTTTTTCCCCCCAGGGAGAAAGACAGAATGCTAATTCATTTCATTATCTTGCCCCCAGGCCTGAAGCGCCACTATGAAATATGTTAATTCGATTGGCAGATTTCAAATGCTGGAGAGAGGAAGGGCACAGCGCATCAGATGGCTCTTCTAATGGCCTGTTCGGATACTGCACATGCTGCTGGCGGTTTGGTTTAACGTTGGAGCACATCATTAGAAAAAGCAAACCGCTCGCTTTAAATATTGCAAATCGAGGTGCGTGCTTGTGTGTGTTTTAGGCCCCGGAGTGTCTGAAGGTCTAAAAAAAAACCCAGCAATTATAGTAAAGGCCAAGAAGTCATGTCTCCGTTAGAATACAGGGCACATGTTTCAGTGTTTTTATGTTTAAACATTCGTGTTTTAATGATAAGAGTTGGCTGAGGTGACCAGGCAACATCAAAAATACTTACGGATGGTGTAAACTAAACACTTTTTCCGATTTTAAAACACAATGCACCTTGCTATGCATTGGAAATATACAGGCTTTATCAAAACTGTTACAAAAATAAAAGAAGAAAAGCATCCTGCAGTTTGAACAACTTGAAACAAGTGAGTTGTGGTTACAAGAATGAAGCAAAATTGTGGCAAAACTTTTTTTTTTAACAAATCCAAAAGCATTTTTCAACTGAAAAGCAAGGCGATGCTGCTATTAAACCAGTTTTGTAAATGTAGCATTTTGTGACAACCGCCATAATAAAACAGACAAAAATCATATAATGAATCAAAGTAACTTGTTCTCCACAAGGTGAGATGAATAGTAATATAAAGGTGCATATAAAGCACAAAAATAGCAACACACAAGACTGAAATTGTGCAACAAATATAAACAAAAATAAAACAATGCAACAAACAGGCTCAAGCACATCATGTTTTTCTCATATAGTAAGGAAAATCCTCTATTTATCAGTTCAATCTTCCAGCAGATCTCTGCTCAAGTGAGATGTTCCTGGCACTCTTTTTTGCCACATTTCATAAGTTCTGCACAAGTTCTCAGTTGATACAAATACCACTGAATGCACACTCATATAAATGTAATGTAATGTGTATTTATATAACAAGCCATAGACTACAGCTGCTTTTTCAGCTAGCTACCTGGATAATACTTTGAACTTGTATTTAGTTTTTACTTAAAACTAAAATTATAAACATAGAAAAAAATTAAAATATCAAAACAAATGACTAAAATCATTGAGTATATGAATGAGATATTAAGGATGCTTATGACAACTGTCCCGAAGAGTCATTAGCTCAGTTATGTCATTTTAAATGCAAAGATGACATTGATTGAGAAGTCTTTGACATGACAATTTAAAACCACCAAATGCATGCTAACTTTTCATAAATATGTCATAAACATTAATGCCATGAGTGCATTATAATTGTGTCATGAATTTTATAACATTTTATAACATTTATAGTCATTCATATTTTTCTTGACATCAACTACAGTGGTACAAATTGCATTTGTCATAAAAATGCCATTAAAAGTCACTAAATATTAGTGACACTGTTTAACAGTACTGACACTTTTACTGAGAAATGTTAATGAAAACAATGGCCTCATGACAATCACGTTAAAGAGAGACTTATGAAAGGTTATGTTGTTGTAAGTGTAGGACGCTGGACAACGGAGTTGAGGATCCACCTGCAGTTTATGAATAAAGAATGGTCAGGCAGGCAACAGTCCAACACAGGAGCAAACAGGTACATACTGGTCATCTAAAATCGAGGTCACAAACAGGTGACTGGTCGATACAGGCAGCAAGGAATCAAAAAGAGAGAACAAGAAAAAGGGTCAAAACATGGCTAGGCTAAAGGAAACGGCTTATAATGTTCTCAAACAGATAAACAAGATTCAGCACTAAAGTGTGTGTGTGTATGTGTGTGCTGTTTATAAAGTCCATCTAATCAGTACATAACAATTCTATGGCTGTGCGTGTGTGTGTGTGTGTGTGTGTGTGTGTGTGTGTGTGTGTGCGTGTGTGTGTGTGTGTGTGTGTGTGCCATCAATGTGAAACAGAAACCGGTGTGAGTGGGCGTTGCATGAAAAGATTTTTAGTTCTTATGGTGACAGACTTGTAGTTCTCCATCGATCTGTATGGATTAGATCGTTGGTGATTTTGAGAGTTGTTATGTCTAGTTGTCACAACAAAGACACAGACTGTTTATGATGCATTTGTTTATGTAACCTTTGCATTTTAAATGATATAATTGAGGGAATTATACTTAATGTCAATTTTCAAAAGCATCCATAAAATCTTCACATTGAAGGCATGTCATGTCATGATTAAAAAGGTGTCATGACAGTATTATGAACACCTTTTTCAGTGTTACCCACAGTAAACTAATAAATACAGTTGCTTAATGGTACTTATAGTACTTACACACTATATTTGTAATTTTATTACAGTAAACCTTTGATGGAGAAATAGTATTTTATCAAGAATAGTAGTCATATTTATTTTTCTCTATACATATTCCAGTGTAATCTGACAACTCAGTTCAGCCAAAATAGCGGTAATAGCATAATAGACTTCTTCTTATATTATATAAACCAGGACCAACTTGTTTATTTTGCAAGTCAAGGTGAAAACCCGTTTTCCAGCCTTAAAAGCTAAAGAAGCAAAACTAAGGTGCATAATGGTTGTGTACAACAAAATTGGGAATATTTTGGATGCAAAAAGCTTGACTAACACCTTAAGTAGACTTTAGGGAAAAGTAAAACACTACAAAAGTGTATGAAGTGGCCGTTTTAATGTTAACAGCAGGGCTATGGAGGAGGAGGCCTGTGGGGAGCACAACACAGTCTGCCAGAAGAGAAAACAGTGACGGGACTAAATGAGATTACAGGAGGGGATCAATGAGGATTCCCCAGCCAACTTTTCCATTTTGCTTATAATATTTATCTGAATTAAAAGGAGAGCACACAGATCTTGCAGTTTTGAGAGGACGGATTTCGGAAAATGCAGTTGAATCAAAAATTAACAGAAAATGTAGATGAAGAGAAAAGAAGGGGTGTAAAAAGTGCAGTGATTGTATTTTAGGAGGTTTGTGCAGTGGATAGAGGGATGGAAATGTGCAAGTTAAACAGAAGTTAGAGGTTTTATATATTAAGATATTTTTCCTATTCTTTATTCAGATGCTTTAGTAAGATTGACTGTTTTATAGAATATAGGTTTTACTTGAAATGTCAGAAAGTATTGGGGTATAATTAGTTACAAAGAAACTAGTTAATGTCAGTAAATTGCTTTGCGCCTAAAAAAAGATATGAGATTATTTTAAGTAATTTAATTACAGTTACTTATAAAGTCTTTGCCTTAAAAATTGCAAGAAAATTTTTTTGTAAGAAAAAAGTCAGAGAAGCAAAAAAAAAAAAAAAAATCAATTTACTATTACTAGTTTTGGGTTTTCCTCTTGGGCGCCATTAAACTCTTCTTATACCTCAACCATGGCAGTGCCCTTTAAAGTATATTACCGCATTTCTCTGCTTTCCTTTGCCTTTTCTGCTTTTCTCCCCTTACATTTTTTTAAAATTGACCAAGAGATAAGTTTTAATCAAAGTGGGGAAGTAAATTTTAAATTAAGCAGCCATGCCCTTTAGTTTGCCGCTGGAAGTCCAGCATCTATGTAAAAAAAGGTTTAATGGTTTAAAGGTTTAAAAGGTTTGTATTTTATTTTAAGTTTATTTTATATGACTAAAATCAAAAATACCAAGGTAACTCTTTATTTTGATGGTCTATTTGAGTATTAGCAGACTGTCTGTTTAATATCAGTTGCTACTGCTCCTTCAACAAACATTAAACTGACTATAAGAAACTTTGCAAGTACACTTCAACTTACACTAACTCTAAACCCAACCCTAACCCCAGCCTAACAGTCTATAATCTAGCTGACATTAGTTGGCATGTAGATGCAATGTAACTTTAAAACAAAAAACAGACCAACATGATAAAGTGTGACCAACACCAACACAGCTACTTTGTTTACAACACTTTATTCTATAGCCACTGCCTACACAGGATTTATGCTGGTTTCTTCAAACCAAATTTAAGATTTTTAAGACCATTATGAATTCAATTTTAGACTTAAAGGGGCTAAACACTAAGGATTTTTTCTAATGGCCCTGTTACTTCTGTAAATACTTTTTGTATTAATGGAAGATCATGTAAAAGGATGTGCTGCTTAAGTTTTCCTTCTCTGATTTGATTCCCTGATTTAATTTGGAGAATTTGCTGTACAAAAAAAATGTCTAACGGCTGTTGTGATGTATCCTTCCACATTTACTTCTTTCTCAGAAGCAGAATTTGTCATACTGTAGTTAGGTATATTAAGAAAGCAGTGAATGGAAGAGTACAAAAACTATATATTTTACATTCCCATTTGCTAAAAATTATAACAGAAAAACTCTGTGATGGTGTTATCAAGACTTTCAGAAAAAAAGAAAAACTGTGTGAGACTGATAACGGCAGCATAGACACTGCATTAGAAACACCTCAAACAAGTGGTAATTAATTAATTAGTAATTTGATGCAAATATGTCATCACCTTAGAATTATATGGATCTATCTGCCATTTTTTTTTTCAAAATTGAGTTACTGACATATTCTTATTAAACAACAACTTATTCACATTATGAGATGTTTTAGTAACACTTTACAATA